GAGGCACAGGGCGGGGTTTTGGGGTGTCCCGTGCAGAGTTAGGAGTTGGTCTCGATCCTTTTTCTCCTAGAAGCTTTTCTCAGAAAAAAACTTGCATTTTGCTGATTCCAGAAACTGCTTGCAGAAAAACTGCTTTTGTTTCATAAAGCACAAATGAGGCTTGTTTCATGCTCGAAGCTTCCCAAGATATCCCTCAGCATAAGCCATCCTCTAGGAGCTGTTGCCAAAAGCAGCAGCTTAGCAAGATCCCGAGTACCTCAGAACCCCAAGGATGCTGGATAAAACTGAGAAGGCATTTCTGGACATGGTCCTGAAATCCACAGTTAAAGGAAATGAGCCTCTGGTGTGGTCACGTGTTGTTCTCCCACAGACAGGGGATTTTTGAGTAAACCATCAAAATAGGAACAGAAAAATCCCACAGATGCAATCAGGCCAGACCCCCCACAGTGTGTGAAGATGATGATGAGCCCTTTGGAGATAGGGTGAGTTCACATTGCCTCCACTGAATCTTCAGTTTCTGCAGTTGTCTCCACTCCTTTCCTAATTATGGTGAAGCTCTCTTGGTGGAGTGGTTACCCAACAACTATTCTGGTGCTCTTGAGGATAGGAAAAGTGGAGCTGGGGTGATGGAAAGCGCTTTGGTGGCCCTTCATGATCTAGGGGAGGAGGCCAGGACATGTTCCACAGCTCCTTGGGCTCATACAGCACCCAGTGCTGCTCCTGGGGTCTCTGGGAGAGAAGCTGAAACCTTGATCCCATACAAGTGATCCTGGTTAAATCCATTTGGATACAATATTCCTCAAGCAATCATTCTGATTTCTTCATAAAAGAAAAGTGAGCTGATGGCAGCAGCATTGCTTTTGGGTAGTGTGAATCCCCCACAGTGTAACAGAGGACTGGCCTGAACTTCTCCATGGGCTGAAGCACAGAGAAAACCAGAAATGAAATTCACCCCCACACACTCCAAAATGCATCTGCCAGAGTTCTCTCCATTTGAGTGAGCACCATTCCCTGTCATCGTTCCTTCTCTGTCCCACCCTGTGTCCCCAAGGTTCTTTATCCCTTTTTAAACCTTGTGCCTTCCCTTCAGACCCATGCAGGAGCCTCCAGACAGGCAGATACCACACCAGCAAAAGAAAAATTAAAAAAAATTAATTCTCTTTTATTGATGGAAAAAGTGATCTTGCATCTTCTCACTGGGATAAAAAAAAGCACAACTGCCCATCATGCCACCAAGGCTACATATCCACCCACAACCCAGAGGCCATCAGAGCCTGTGATATCAACTTGTCAAATGACTCTGAAGAAACATTTTATGGACTAGCAGTTTATTACAGGATAAAAATCCTCCAAAATTTTAAGCAGTGAAAAGTTACTATTATTTCTTAAGCAGTAAATTTTTTAGCTCAAAAAGCCTGCAGAGCTCCCTTAACGCCGTGGATAAGTGATAATGCCGAAGATTACAATGCAAGTTGTTTTTGAAGAATGGACAGAAGCTCGAGAAGATTCTGACTTGCAAGAAGAATGTCTCAAATCTGCATGGAGAGAGTAGATTGACACCAGTCACTCTACTGACACCTTCAACTGCAATTATTTTAGGACTAAAAACCAGTTTCCTCAGAGCAGTCTGACTGCAGCGTCCCTGCAGAACCACCTTCCAGTGAGATTCAGGTAAAAATCCTGCAGAAATTCCTTTTCTGTCCTTTCCTTGGTGGAGTTCAGAGTCCAACAAGTCAAGAGGATCCTTGTTCTCCACCCCAGGGAGGAGTTTGTCCTGCTCTCAACTCTTTCCAGGCCAGCTCAGTAAATCCTCATCCCCAGAGCACAGTGAAGTCACCCACATCCCCCTCCAGCCAGACTCACCAGTGTCCCACCAACCCAAGCCATGGTGCTGTGTGAGCCCAGAACATTCCAGACCCTGCCAGGCTCACACCCCACTGCCCAAAGGTGAGTGACAGACCACAGCAATGACTGTATACAACTATATAGAGCTATAGCTCTGCAGGAACTGGGGCATTTCATATAAGGGTCCTGTCAAGGCTTGTCATTATCCAGCCTCTAACTGGACACATAATTTGGCTGTTCCAGCCAGGGTTACGTCAGCTGAGCCACATATTCAGTTTCTTTTCCCTATCAAGTATTAAACTGGAATTTCCCCATTGCTACATCCAGATCAGTTACACGCAGTCTGAAGAACTTGGAGCCCTCACACAGAGACACTGGTGAATAAACCCCAAAGTGTTTCTGGTTTGTGCCTCATAAATCCCACAGGGTGCTGGTTAACCAGCCTGCCACCCACCCTGAGGCACAGGGATCTCGGGTACAGTGACTTCCTGCTCCTCCCCTGACAGGAAACAGCACTCGGGGCCTGAGGGAGCTTTAGGGACTGCGACAACTCTCTGCGGTATCTAACTGACGCAGCAACAACATGCAGGGAAGATTTTCTTCAAAGTTCCCCTTTTATAGGAGAAAAGGACTCTTGTAGGCACGGGATGGCCAAATCCAGACCAAAATACTGGGGAGAAAGGGTGTGGGAACAGGTTTCTTTGTGTCCCAAATATTATCTACTTTTAGGGTGTGGGGCTTTGTTTCTCAGCTTTTCAAACCCCCCCTCCCTACAGAAATGGGTCTGTGTTTCCCTTACCAGCACAGGACGGGAATAACTCACCATGGATTATTCTGGACGGAGCTCAGAAGTCTGGCTCTGCAGGAAGGAAGTGCAGAGCGTTAAACCGGGGGCTAATGGCACCCCTTGTCCCCTGTCCCCGCAAGGTTCCCCCAGAAACAGCCCCAGTATGGCGACCAGAGCTACTTTCAGCTGTAGCTGAGGCTAGGTCTACACCATCAGCCCTTCTTTATACTCACACGACATAAAGCAAAAATTCACTGCATGGCCCATCGCCTTCTAGTTAAATTCACCACGGCAGAGATCGGGTGACACGGCATCACCAAATCCCTGTGGATTAACACCAGCGTGCGTCCTCCCCGAATCCTTCACAGGCACGTGTAAGAGCCTTTTCAGCTAAAAGCAAGTTAGCTTTCTCTCTCTAACACAAGACCTTCAAACCCCGCTCCATTTCACCCTGCTTCCCAGGAAAAGGAACAGAGACAGCACGGATATAAAGCAAGGAGCTCCTGCACGCAGGAGGGGAGGCACAGCATACCCCAGATGTAATTGCCTGGCTCCCGCATGGTGGAATGCGCCACCCTACAAGAGAAGGTGTCACCCTTTGTGGGGGTGAAGCGCGCATAGACCAGGCGCTGGAACTGCCACTTGTCGTTGAAGGACAAGTCCCCGTACGTGACGTCGGGAATGGGCACGCCGTTCTTCAGGAGTTCGATGTCAATCTTGGGTGGGTGAAAGCCAGTGACAAAGCAGTGGAGAGTGTTCTCCTTCCCCTCCTCGGCGCGGGAACGGGCGTACACTTCCACCTTCGGCGCCTCTGGAGAGAGGGGCGAGGGCGCGTGAGAAGCGGGGCTGCCGCGGGCACCGCCGCGATGCCAACACTCCCACCCACCCGAGACCCCGCAGCCCCTCACCGCCATCAGGACCCTTCGCGCCGCCCCAGGCACTCACCAGTGGCCGCCCCCAGGCCGAACAGCGCCAGCAGAGCGAGCACCCCGAGCGCCAGGGCCCTCCGCGCCATCGCCGCTCCTCGCTGCCCCGCCGTTTCCCGGAATGTCCCACCCCTGCCCGCACTCCGCCTTTTATAGCCTCCGGAACACACGGCCAATCGTGGCGCGGAGCGGTCACTACGTCATCAGTTTCCAGGTAGAACGGGAGCTCCGGGGTTGTGCGAGCCAGCGGGGAAGCGCTTTCGCTTTCAGTTCCGTGCTGAGTGGGGGGAAACCCCGGGCAGAGACCCCGGGGCGTCAGCGGGAAACAGCGGCTGGGCGTGAGCCCCGGTGGGCAATGGCACCTGCTCGGGACCAGCCCCGCTGTGGCCACAGGCGCAGGGCAGCGCCCGTCCCCTGTGCTGGGCACTGCTGAGGCCACACCCCAAACCCTGGGGTCAGTTCTGCGCCTTTCGCTCCAAGAAGGACATCGAGGGGCTGGAGCGTGTCCAGGGAAAGGCACAGAGCCGGGGAAAGGGGCTGGAGCACCAGGAGCAGCTGAGAGAGCTGGGAGGGCTCAGCCTGGAGAAAAGGAGGCTCGAGGAACCTTCTTCCTACAACTCCCTGAGGGAAGGGAGCAGCCAGGTGGGGTTGTGCTCCACCCCCAGGGAACAAAGGAGAGGACAAGAGGAAGCAGCTTCAATAAAGCACCAGGAAAGGTTTAGATTGGATCTTAGAGAAAAGTTAATCTCTGAAAGGGCTGTCCAGCCTTGCCACAGGCTGCCAGGGCAGTGGTAGAGTCCTCATCCCTTGAGGGATTTAAAAGCCCTGTGGATGTGGCACTTGGGGACATGGGTTAGTGGTGGCCTCGGCAGTGCTGGAGGAATGATTTGACTTGATGGTCACAGAGAGCTTTTCCAACCTAAATTGTTGTAAAAGTCACCTCTTGCAGATTTTGCATCCAGGGCTGGTATTACACCAACAGCCTGTGGTGGAGCAAGCTATCCACCTTCTTTTTTTAACCTCTTTCAAAACCTGTGTGGAATGTCTCATTCCAGCAGCTGCAGGGTGGGAAATTGACTGTTGTTGGAGCACAGCGCACATAAAACATGAGAATTCCCTGACATAAAGCACGAGAATTCTAACACCAAAGAACCAGATTTTCTGGCGTCTCCTCGAGAAGAACTGTGAGCACCAAAGCCCAGCAAGGCTAGGAATGCCACTGAGTGTCCCAGTAGTGCTGCTTAGAAGGAAAATAAAGGGAAAAGAAAGTCAAGTCACTGCTAGTGGGGAGAAAACAGCAGCATGGTCTAAGTACCAAAACACTAAATCCCCTTAGGACTTCTGAGTGTATCTCATTAAAATACAAATTAAATTAATAAAGCATGTATGGTAAACACCCCAAAGGCAGCAGGTAAATCAGGAGAGGCCAAGCAAAAGAAAATCTTGAAAACACTTGTTATCAGTTCCCATTGGCCCTGCTCCTGCTGGGTTTGCTGGCTGCTCAGCGAGCAGGGCCAGCTGAAAACACTCGATGTTTTCCTCAGCGTGGGATAAACAGATGCAGCTGCAGCCAGAGCCTTATCAGGGATCTCAGGCTCCAACAGAAATAATTCCTGAGTGCTCCATTGGTGGCAGAGCTGTTGTTAGGGTCACCACAGCAGGAGTCACCAGCCCAGTCCAGCTGCCCCAGGGGTGAATCTGGCTCTGCCCACGCGAACACTCCCTCGCCTTGGGGAGAGGATGGCAGGACATGGATCCTTTCCATGGGCCCTTTGGGATGTGAATCCCTGGCAATGACTCTAACCCACACCACCTGTTGGAATTTCCCAGTAAAGAGAAGCACAACTCTTCCACGTGATGTTTATTAAAAGCCACAGTGATTTGGTTAAAGTAGCCAAATCTTCCACTTTGGGGACACTTCTGCTTTTATTAGCAGAATTATTTGAGAGTGGGTGACATGACCAAGGTTCTCCGAGAATTCAGGGGGATAATTCAGGGGAATAAGGACAACCCGCTATGCTTTGTGGGATACAGACATTTATAGTGTTAGTGTTGACACCTGTGCTCGGCGTTGCCCGCCAGAATACTCAGGGCACATCCCACCAGATTTCCATAACTTCTCAGAGGGATATCAGCTCTGAGAACAGCACGGTGGGAGCAGCGGGGAAAGCCGGGCTGGGCCGTTCTGTGCCCCGAGAGCCGCA